GGAGGAGGAGGAGGAGGAGGAGGAGGAGGAGGAGGAGGAGGAGGAGGAGGAGGAGGAGGAGGAGGGGGGGGAGGAGGCGGGGGAGGAGGAGGAGGAGGAGGAGGAGGAGGAGGAGGACCAGTGTAAGCCCAAGAGTCATCAACGATGTTGGAGTAAACCCTCCCTCCAAGTTCCCTCTTCACAGGCCCCTACAACGGTTCATGTCCATTGATGGAACTGCCTCGTTGGAAGACGCCCGTTTGTTGTCGGGATTCCAACGCCACGGATCAACCTGACTGTTGCGTCTTGCGTCTTGACGATACTGAATCGTGCCAGAACACCATTCCTAGGACTTCGATACAGAGAACAAACGGAACTGAGGCACCCGCATAATCCTGAATCCTTCCCAAACACCATGTCTGGTACGCCGCTGATAGGAATCCGTGAAGCTCTTGCCAAATGGTTATAACGAATGTGCGCGGCGCTGAAGCGAGAATCACATTTTGAAAAAACGCCCTCAATCCGTGAAGCCTTTTTCAACTTTTGAAAAACGAATGTGCGCCGCGCGAAAGCGAGAGCCCCATTCTGAAAAACGACCCGCGCTCAATCTGCGAAACCCTTGCAAATGTTCAAAACGAATGTGCGCGGCGCTAAGGCGAGAAGCACATTTTGAAAAAAAATCGCCCTCAGTCCGTGAAACCCTTGCAAGTTTTTTTTACACATGTGCGCCGCGCTGAGGCGGGAGCCACATGTTGAAAATCAGCCGCCCTCAATCCGTGAAGCTCTTGCAATTCGTTAAAACGAATGTGCTCCTCCTTCCCTCCTCCTCCTCCTCCTCCTCCTCCTCCTCCTCCTCCTCCTCCTCCTCCCCCTCCTCCTCCCCTTCCTCCTCCTCAGCTCTCTTCACCCATCCTTCTCGCTCCATCTCGTTCCTCCCCGATCCCCCTCGGCCCTCCCCACTCCTCGCCCCCTCCCCTCGGGGGAGGCGGGCGGCGGGACCCGCCTCCAGGTTCGGGGCCGCGACAAGGGGCGGGCCTGCACGCGCGCCGCCGCGCTGCCGGGGAGGGGGGGGGAGGGGCCTCGAGGATGAGGGTCGAGGGGGAGGACCAGTCGAGGACGAGGGTCGAGGACGAGGGTCGAGGACGAGGGTCGAGGACGAGGGTCGAGGACGAGGGAGGTCGAGGGGGAGGACTGGTCGATGGGGAGGGTCACGAAAGGGGGAGGGAGAGTCGATGGGGAAGTACCGCAGGGGAGGAGGACCGACGGGGGAAGGAGGAGGAGGAGGAGGATAGATGGGGGAGGATCGCGGAAAGGGACAAGGAGGATGAAGGGGCACGATCGAGGAGGAGGACGAGGAGGAAGATGCATTTGGGGGGGGCCGAGGTCCAGGACACAGGCCGTGCGGGCCTTTCGGGCCGGGAGCCCCTTTCCGCAGCGAAGAGAAACATGTCGAACGAGAGAAGGCACAGCGACCTTGCGCCGCGGCGTGCGCGGGCCGCCAGCGTGGCGCGTCGCGCGGAGCAGAGGGCGTTTGCGCGCGACCGCATGCGGGGAGGCCGTCCGCGCGGTCGACCCCGTTCCCTGCCAACACTCGCGCGGAATCGGGGAAGGCCCCCGACAGCAGAAGCCCAGAGCTTCTGGGCGGGATGGGCGACAAAGCCCCTCATCGGCAACGAATGGGTGATCGGGGCCAACGCTTCCCCATTTCAGCCCATCCCCTCCTCGCGCTGCCCCTTGGCTTTCGGGTCACAGCTCGGCCTTCCAGCGGCTGCCTGGGACGATCTGGGCACCCCGGGAGCGCCCTCGGCGAGACGCAGCTGCCGAAGGCCTCCCGCGGCTGGACAACGGCTGAATACGAAACGTCCCAAGACCAGCAAGAGAACCTGCGCTGTCCCTGAGCCGATCCCCCCGCTGACGTTGCCTCTGGGCGAGTCCCCCCTCCGATGTTGGCCCTTCTCTTCAGCACTCCACAGAGCGCCCCGCCGCATGCCGGTGGAGGGGGGGGGGCCTTCGTCATCGCGCCGCCGCCTCCTCGCTTTTCTGGCGCAGTAGCAGGCGATCGCGACGGCGGCAAGAATCCACAGGAGCACCTGTGGCGCGGGGGGGGGGGGACGGGGAGACGGCCGCGAAGGTCCGACGTCGCCGACGTCGCGAACAATCGCGCAGCATCGCGGTCGATGACGACCAGATCTCAGGCACCCAGATCTCAGGGGAAGGAGGAGGAGGAGGAGAGAACGTGGGCTTGCGGACCTTTTTCTGGTTTCTTTCGTATGGTACGTATCGAATGAAACGCTCCTCCGCCGTTGGTTGTTGAATGATTTGTTGATATGGTTATATTTCCGTCGTGGTTCCTCCTAATGGTCAGCTTCCTCAGTTTTGGTTCCCCACCTTTCCTCCGAGGTTCCCCCGAAAAATCCGTTTCTCGTTTTTCTTGCGGGGGAGGAGATGCCCTGTCTCTCCCTCCGATCCCCCTGCTACTCCGATGCCTCCTCCGCCTTCTCGCGCCCCCCCGCACCACCATCACCATCACCACAACCACCACCACCACCAACACCACCACCAACACCACCACCAACACACACACACACACACGCACACACACACACACACACACACACACACACACACACACACACACACGCACACGCACACGCACACGCACACGCACACGCACACGCACACGCACACGCACACGCACACGCACACGCACACGCACACGCACACGCACACGCACACGCACACGCACTCGCACTCGCACTCGCACACGCACACGCACACGCACACGCACACGCACACGCACACGCACACGCGCACGCGCACGCGCACGCGCACGCGCACGCGCACGCACGCACGCACGCACGCACGCACGCACACACGCACACACACACACACACGCACACACACGCACGCACACACAGACACGAAAACAGCAGCAACAACAACAACAACAACAACAACAACAACAACAACAACAACAGCAGCAGCAGCAGCAGCAGCAGCAACAACAGCAACAGCAACAGCAACAGCAACAGCAACAACAACCACCACCACCACTACCACAGCAACAACAACATCATCAACAACAACAACAAAACTGCGCGAACCTTTGTTGCACCTAAACATATAATTAAAAAAAGATATGAGGAAAAAGGAAGGAAAAAAAGGCGGGGGGAGGAAGAAGAATAAGAGAAGTTGGGGCGGGGGCGGGCGGGGGGGGAGGAACAAGAAGAAGAGGAAGAGAAGCTGGAGCAGGCGCCCGCGCAAGCAGCGACAGAGGATCACAGGCACAAGTGCAGCAGCATTCCCTGTTTAACTCCGCACGCAGTACTGCCGAGCGCCGGAACCCCGCAACCGAAAAGCGCCGCCAAAAGTCAGGCGCCCGTGGACTACACAAAACGAAGAATGCAGCTGCGAATCCGCCGCGCGAGGAGGACACGTCGCCGTGAACCCCACTGCCACGGACTCGAGCTTCAGGCGCTCCTTGACGAGGCCTCCACACCAGGGCCCTGGATCGCAACCGCGACATTCGTCAAGTTCGGGGTGTCCGCCAAGTTCGGCTCGGACATCTTGCGGCAGTTGTCGAAGCTCCTCCAGGCATCAGCGACGCTATAGTTCGCGCGATTCCGCCACGAAACGACGCCAGGAATCTGGCGGTAGCGCGCGCTCCCCACGCGAACCGCCCGAGCGCGCCATGGCGCCCGACGCTGCGAGGGCAGAACGCGTGGATGTGGCAAGCCCAGCGAGCTTGGGCCCACTCGCCCACGGCGGCTGCTCGGCGCGCGCTGGCTGCCAAAAACAAGCGCCGCGGCGCGCTCGGCGCCCAGATCTCTGCGAACCAACACAGAGGGCACCAGACCCACGCCAGGCCTAAGCTCGCGCAACCTGCACGTTTAAACTGCCGCGGATAAGCCCGCGACCCCCTGGAAAGAACGGTTCAAAGTCATCCGGCTAAGATCCCAACGCGCACATCTGGCGCGCAAGCGCATTAGTTTGTCCTGTGCCCGCGAAGGCGAGAACTCGCGCAGCAGGACGCAGAGTCTGCATTCACGAAGCAGACCATGACCCAGGCACTAAAGAGTTCAAACGCGCAGGCGCAAGCTCCGCGCTGGACCACCACCGCGCATGGCCTTCGCAGTGGCGAAGTGGATACGTCGCCCAGCTGACCAAACCAAGCCAAGCAGATAGAATGAAGCACATGAGGCCGCAGTGGTGCCACGCACGAATACGCAGCCAAACAACAACGGCCAATGCCCCGCCAATGTCGCGGCGCGCCAGCCTCACCGGCACGCGCGGCGCCTGTCCGCCCCCCGCGCTGTCTCGAAGCCATCGCGCGGCGGCGCGTACCCGCCGCTCGTCTCCTCGACGCGTTTGCCGCGCAGCTTGGCGTAGCACAGGACAGGGAACTTGCGGCGCAGCGGCGGTATCTCGTTCAGCAGGCGCGCGCAGCCCTTGAACCACGAGAAGGTCTGCCCTGGGACTTACGCGCTGACGCCCTTAAAGCGACGACGCAACCGCCAGGGGCAGTCGCCGACGCGGCCCCCCGCGCGCGCCCAGTCCACGGACCAATATGCAGTGCCCTTGCAGGCGGGCACCTCCTGCGCAAACAGAAAGAATGAACGGCACCTGCCGCGCGCGAGCGCGTCGACGTCGGGGCGCGTTTTGAGCGCGCGGCCCAGCGCCTCAGCCGCCGCGCCGTCTCCTGGAGGCCCCGCCCCCCTGCTCGATCGCACGCGCGACGCGGCCCTCGGGCGCGAGGGCCGCGCGCCCCCCGCGGTCGCGGCGCGCGCGGCGGGCCGCCCCGCTGCCGCCCCCGCGCCGCGCCTTCTGCCACATGGCTGCGCTGGGGGCGCCCTGGCGCACAGCTGCGGCCGGAGGCCGCCCGCGCCCCGGCGCAGCGCACGGCCTCCCGAGCACAGCGGCCCTCGGTCCGGCGCGGCGCCCGACGCAGCAGACGGTCTTCTCAAGGGGCGCCCTGCGGACCCGCGTCGTCACCCCCCACGCTGCCGCGGGCTTCCTGCAGATGGCGCGAGCCTTCCCGTCCTGGCCACCGCGCTGAGTGGCGACCTTCTCGCGGCCGCCCCCGACGAGCACCGCGGCCTTCTTCGGGCGCGCGGCGGGGGCCCCCGCGGCGGCCCGCGTCGAGCCGACCCTGCGGCGCCCCCGCATCGGCCCCATCTCCCGCGCAGCGATCACGTACATCAGCGCGTCGAGGTGGAGCTTCCTGAAGTCCGCCGCGAACTCCTCGCCGCGCCCGCCCTCCGCCTCGCCCGCAAAAGTCTCCACGGCGACCCAGTCGGCGCCGCGGGCCGCGGCGAACGAGCCGGACATCAGTTTCTCTGGGCAACGCAAATAGCTCGCGACAGGCGCTCTCTAGCCGCTGACGAACGCCACGCCGGACTGCTCAAAATCCAACAGCGCGGCCGCGATGACCTCCTCCCCTCCGAACGCTGGACGCCACGCCATCCTAGAACCAGTCGGGACTGCGCAGGGGCCTAGCCTTGGCGAAGGCCGCCCTCGCACATCGCCTCGCGCAGCATCGCGCCAAGGGGCCGTCCGCCAAGGTGCCTTCACGGAGTCCGAGGGCCCAGAGAACGCCCCCCGAAGCACGGCCCTCGGAATTCGAGACCCGCGCCGCGCGGCAGGAGGCGGGATTTCTGAGAGACCATGTCCGGGGGCCGGCGGCGGCCCGGACGCTGGCGGACAGGGCGGAGGGATCGGTCGCCGAGATTCCGCGACCGAAGCGGCCTCGAATGAGGCATCGTCAGGTAGGGATTCCTCGACCGAAGGCTGGCGTGCATAGCCAAATCGTCGCGTGGAGGAGAGCGTCCGGAGGAGGAGGAGGAGGAGGAGGAGGAGGAGGAGGAGGAGGAGGAGGAGGAGGAGGAGGAGGAGGAGAGGAGGAAGAGAGTAGGAAGGAGGAGGAGGGGGAGGAGGAGGAGAGGAAGGAGGAGGGAGGAGGAGGAGGAGGGAGTGGATGAGGAGGAGGAGGAGGACAAAGGGCTCGCCAGCAGCGGGCGGCACGTCGCGGGCCGCCCGCTCCTCCGCGAAGCCGCGAGGACTGCGCCCAGCCCCAGCCCTCGCCAGGGGCCGCCCTCGGCCGGCGCGACGCGCCGCGTCGCGCAGGGGCGTCGCCCGCCAGGATGCCGTCGCAGAGTCCGGAGGTCCAAACACGGGCGCCCCCGCCCCTCTCCAGCATGGCCCCCGACATTCCGAACCCACGCCGCGCGGCGCGGGGCCGGAGTTTCGGGGGCCGCGCCCGGGGGGGGGGGGCGGGCGGCGACCGCAGGGAAACCAGCGAAAAGGGAAGGAGAGAGAGAGAGAGGAAGGGGAGAGAGAGCGAGAGAGAAAGCAACAATAAATATATAAGACAAAGACAAAAAAAAAACAAAAGAGAGAGAGAGAGAGAGAGACAGAGAGGGAGGGAAACAGAGAGAGAGAGAAAGAGAAAGAGAAAGAGAGAGAGAGAGAGCGAGAGCGAGAGCGAGGATGAGAGAGAGAGGGAGGGAGAGGGAGAGAGAGAGAGAGAACAAAAAAGAGAGAGAGAGAGAGAGCGGAAACAATAAAAATGAGAGACAGGAGATACGAAGAGAAAGAAGAAGTCCAAGGATTAGGTCGGGCACGTCCTCCTGCAAGCGCATGTTGGAAAAACACGAAACAGTATCCCAACATATCCGAAAATGATTTCAACAGATAGCCGAAGCATCGTCCCCAGACATGTTCTTAAAAACTATTCGGGGAACCTTCTTCCCGCAGAGGGACATGCCCGATTCGGTCCACGGACCTGGAGGTCGGTGTGCGGCCGCGTCGTGTCGTGTCGTGGCGGCTGGCGCGCGCTGGCGCCGGGCACCGCGCGGCCCCCGGAGCAGCGCGCGTCGCTCGCCGCCGGCCGACGCTGGGCACGGGCGGCGCTCCACCTCGAACGCCCCCGCTGCGGGTGCTGCTGAAGGGGCCCGAGGACACACAAATAAATACACACAAATAACAAGATCCCCCATATTTTCATATATTTTCTGGGTTTTTGTCTTCCCCCCCACTTCCCTGGAAGTCGACGATTTATTGTGTCTGTGTGTTTTTTGCCTCCTGAGCATCT